TTTTTTTTTTTTTTGTTTTTGGGAGAGGGTGGTGGGTGGCTTCTTAAATTAATATAAAAAAATAACGGCCAAAGATGATGGTACGCCGGGGGGGGGGGGAGAGTCATCTGGGGAGGGGTGGACCTTCTCTCTCAGCCATCATTTCTCTCTACCAAGTTGCATCCTACTTTGTGTTTGTAGCTCTTTCACAACACTAAGGGCTCCCCACACCCAGTAGTGGCTGCCAATTGTCCTATTACAGCCATAAGGTTTGCCATCTATTGGCATCAGAGATATTCTGGCATATCTTCCCATCTTTAACATATGCCCCAGCTGCGATTATCCTGGAAATGCCAATGTAGAGATGAGGAAGATTTCCAGCCACCAGGAGACTACATTTTATTTACCAGTGAGGGTTGCTCTTTGCCCTTGTGACTAGCACAAGCAAGATAATTGGAAAATGAATTTGCACAATCCATTTACATTACAGAATGTGGCTTTTCTTGAATTTGGCTTAGTCTTGGTTAAGAGTTTACATCCCAGAATCTAATAAATAAATGAAGTAAATTAATACTACTCTGTTTCCCTAATATTGTCTGAATAAATAAGACTTGCTTCCTGCTATTCATATTTTTAATGCTGCTGTCTCTCTTGAGGGTTCGCACACCCACTTACCCTTTGCCCCTTTTTCCCCCCAGTGCTTACCTGCTCCCTGCTTCAACAAATCAGCAGCAGTGCTCATATTGGTGGGAATAGCCAGCTCTGGTCTTTCCTCGGTGAGATCTGAAAAGCAAAAGTCAGATAATGTAGAGCAGTAATAGGTATCTTCTGCACCAATGTTTTTCAACCATGGCTGGCTGGGGAATTCTGGGAGTTGAAGTCCACACATCTTAAAGTTGCCAAGGTTGAAAAAGATGATCTATACACTACCTTCCAGCTGTTGGGATTACCATTTGCTGGGCTAGGATCTGGACACGCATCTGGGAAAAACCAGGTCCCTCTGCTCACTTGACTTCTTCTGGATAAGGTTTTCATGATAAAGTTGCTCTGATTTATAGCTCCACTCAGAGACAAGCAACCTGTAGCTCCTCAGACTTTCCTAAATGGCAACTCTGAGCAGCTCTCATCCTTGACCATATAGGCTGGAACTAGCGGCATTTGTTCTCCTCCCACATCAGCCTATCAACTTAGCCTATACGTCACTACACAACATTATCATGGAGAGCAAGAAGTGAAAGAACTACACTGGCTCAGGAAGTTGACCCTTGTGTCATGCCTCACTCATTCTTGTTTACTATTAGAACAGGGAGTCCTCAATCTTTGGGGGCTATGGACACATTTGGAATTAGAAAACATGCAGTGGGCTATCCTGCAAGATGACTGTGGAGAAGACTTGCTTATTCACAAAATGGTCACTGTAGGGAAACAATCAATTACAAAGCATCAATTTTCCTGAAAGTTATTTGCCACTTCACCCCAGGCATCCACCCCACAGTACTCCTTACAACCCCTGTTTAGATTTGTCCTTTTTCTGTGTAAATGGGGACACTTGTAAACATTGCACAAGGCGGCAGCCATCCATCATTTTATTTTCTAAGAAAACTTATGGAGCCTATTAAGAGCTCAGAGGCATTCTTGGAAATAAAGATGTTGGTGGCTGGCATTTTCCTTTGCAACATGCCAGATTCCCATTTTTAAAATTAAAGTCTCTTGGTTTAATGTACAGTACAAGGCAGATGGAGCAAGGAACCTGGACGGCATCAAGGAGGGAGGCTGCAGGCCCATGGATGTCCCAGTGCCACCTTGGGGACCACTGTGTTAGATGCCCAAGACATGTAATTTCTTAGCCTCTGTCTCCATTCATTTCATCTACCTCCATCACTTTCCAGTCTCCGGGCTCTGAGCAACTTCCCACTCGCCTACCTTTGCTTGGGATGCGGAGTTGGCAAGGCAACGAGAGGGGGGTGATGGAATGCTGGGAGACCAGCGCTGGCAGGCTGCCTGCAAAAGGAGCGAAAAATCTCATGTTGAGTCAAGGGTTTGCCTCCCATACTATCTTCCTCAACACAGCACCCCCAACCCTGACCAGTTATAATTTGTTTAGGAGCCTCCCCAAAGTGTCACTCATTTGCTCAAAAGGCGCTTACATGGTGGGAGCTATGCTATTTTTAATCAAGGGCTAGGCTTGATTATAATTGGGTTATATAATTGGGTGGGGCTGATGCCAGTTGTGGGTGGCATTAAACCAAAAGTGGGTGAAACAACCAATTATTTCTCTGACATCCCCTATTTCCCTCCCCACCCTTCCCTCCCTTTCCAAGCCAGGAGGTTGCCAGGGCAAACACAGACACAGATTGCTCATACCGTGAGTCTGAAGTGATCGTTTTTCAGAATAGGGTGAGGGCTGGACGTTAGTCTAATCCTGCGCTTTGTGCACCCGCCTACTGGAATCTTTTCCCTTCAAGGCCCAGTGTTACTTACCGAAATGGGGCTCATTGTTACAACCCTTGATCTTCACCCCTTTGGGTCCTGTCTCGATCAAGAAGTGACGCACCAGCTGCTCCGCAGGGTCTCCTGAGACAGGAAAGGGCATCAATTAGTGATGGCGGTTCTCTTTCCCCAGATTTTTGTTTCCTATCTAGCCTGCTTCCAGAGAAGAGGCTGAAACGAAGTTCATCCTGATGCTAGCAGGACCTGTCACAGCTTTGTGGAGAGGATAAATGGATAAGGAACAGCACATGGGAGTTTGGGACCAAGATAGCATTTACTCTTAGAGTTGTCAAAGGCATTTCTCAATGCTACATGTAGCCGACAATAAGGCGCAACTAAAAGGGGTGATAAGTTTGTGAAGGGTGGTAGTCATATTGTTCTAAGTCATTGGAAGGTAATAATATTGTTCTAAGTCATAGTTTAGCTTCAGAAGCTGCTGAACCACAACTCCAGGCAACACCAGCTAGGCAGGCCTACAGTGAGAGGTATCAGAAGGTGTCGTTCCCCCAAAATCTGGAGGGCCACAGATTGCTTAGCTCTAAGCAATTTGGGTCTTCCATATTTGGAAGGCTGAGCTTGGTGATGGGGAGGGGGGGCTGGAGAGTGTTGGTTTGAGGGTTTTTTTTTTTAACCTTTGGTGGAATGGTTGATGCTGCTGGGTGGAGGCGTTGCCACCTTCAGAGCCAGGCCATAGGCCCCCTGGAAGGAGTTACTGTCCCGAATGAGGAAAGTGCCAGGTTCCTTGTCCTTCAGGAGAGCAATGGCTGTTCAGAAAGAGGAAAAGAAAAAAGACGTCAGTGATTAGCACACAGAAATCCACAACTCTTCCAGAGCCGGATGAACAACTATATTAAACGTCGTAATAACCTTTGGGCTGAGGGCTACATTTGGCCTTTGTGGTGCCAGGAGCCATGCAACAAAAATCTGGCAAGGCCAGGATGAAAACTAAACTGATTCAATTAAAATTATGTAACTGCAGTTAATATGATTACTCCTCGTATTTTTAAACCACAGTTCATTTGCTTATGATAACAGAGAATGAGTCAAGTCTACAAGGGTGATAAGAGGTTCTGAACATGCAACAGATAATTTTTTGTGTAGTGTCAAGAGTGAATGTTGGGGGGGGAAATGGGCATGGAAGAAAAGAAAAGAAGTAAAAGAAGCTAGAGTGAAAGTAGAATGGCTGCAAGAAGAGAAACAATGAGTCCTTTATTTTTTTAAAAAAATAAGTATTAGATGATAGATTAATCTCCCAACAGAATCAATGGAAAGTAGATGTAAATATGGAATCTGCTTGTGAAATCATGTTATGAAGTGCCAGAGGAGTGTCTGGGGTTATGCTAATGGGAACTATGAAAAAGGATGCTCGGCAACATGATGTTAAAGAAGCAGTGGAAAAATGCATGTAAGAGAATGAGGGCTGCAAAAAATGAGATCAAAAGAAAGATAGTGAAATTGGAAAGAGCACTGATGTGGACTGGGATGGCCAGTAGTCTTATCTGGCTTATAAGATGGCCTGATGGAAATGGAAACTTTCATGCTGCTGGTAGGAAAAAGCTTAATGCCTTAGCAGTCTTTTACTGGAACTACAGGAGCATGGAACAGTTGCGCAATGGGAAAAAAACATAAACTGAGAAAGTACTGAACCATATAAACGTGACTGTGCAACAAAAGCTAAAATTTTCAGAGGATAGTATTCTCTTGAATTACACACCCAGTGCACGGAACTTGACAATTGGATAATGTAAATGGATTCTCCATGCCCTTCCTATGGCTAAAAGACTGATATTGCAGCATTGGAAAGAGAAATGTATGGCCCCATTTACTCAGTGGATTGAAGACCTGATTGCACTTGCCACTTATGAGTGGATAGCCTATAAACATAGACTTTGTATGGACATGTATAATGAGATATGGGACTCATTTATACAAAATACAGTAGGTTAGGAAAAACATGATAGTCATATATATCCATTAGAAATATATAGGTACTTGAATAATATTTGCATTAGATAAGTATATATAGAATTGTAACTGTTTACTGTTATGACAATGATATATCATACTATATTTTTTTCTTCATCGTATTTTTTTCACTTTTTTATAAAGCACTTTTTATGTTTTTTTCTTTGACGATATATGTATCTCCATCATTATCATCATTGTGTTTTGCTTTTTTTCTTTTTCTTTTTGTTATTAATTAAAAAGCAATAAAAAATAAATATTTTTTAAAAACAGAAACTATATCTGTAGACCTGCCTTTTCTTTGCAGTTCAGATTCTTACATACATGCCCTGTCCAGGCATTCACAGAGTATATGCTTGCAAGAATTAATCTTTACGTGACTCAGTGGGTGAAGGGGATTGGACAGAGAGAGAGAGAGAGAGAGAGAAAGGTGTTTGTGCGTGGAAGAGATGGAATATGCATGAAGAGGATGGAATATGTATGCATGTTTTACATCCATCATCTGTACACAAGACCATTTTTACTGTATCGGTCCATCCAGAGTGATGTAGTGAAAAGAGTGTGGTTGCATTCTCCCACTGCTCAGTTAATTGACACAGATCATCTGATAGGGCTTTAGGGAATGACTGACTACATGGATGATGAACAGCAGTCCTTAGCAATGATCATTGAAGCACCTCCTGAGCCAGCTCCAGACCCAGCAATATTCCTTATACCCTGATCCGTCCAGCACGTGGGAGACTAGCTGGGAAGGGGGACTTAAGGCGAAAGAAGCAAAAACCGTGTTTTCACTGGAACTGCAGGAGGCAAACTACATCTTGCCCATAAATCTGCAACCAGCACAACACATGGAGTGGGGTCACCAGCTTGGACTGTGGTGCTTTTTAAAACAGGAACATTCTGTACAGGGAGATGGAGGCGGGCTGCGTATAAGTGTGTGGGATTGGCTGCTCCAAATCAAGAACTGTTCCTGCCCTAGAAAGAAAATGTCAAATACTGACTGTGTTAAATCACAGCCAAAGCAGCCAAAATTGTTTGGGAGTTGCATACCTTGGTCTCGAGACAAATGGGGCTTGTACCAGAACTTTGACGTGTCTTGGACAAATTTGACGCTAACCTGGTTCTCTTGCTGGAGATCTGAAAGAAGCAAAACAGAAGTTCCCTCTCCAATATGCAGGCAAACATAAGGACTTAACAGACTTAAAAACACCCACAATAATATTTGCTACTGAAGGCTAGGGATGGCTAGATGGCTAGTGCTACAGAGGGCTAGAAATATTTCACTTACATAATTAAATTATAATTTTAAAGGACTGTAAAGTACTAAGTCTTCTTTGAGTCAGCCCGAGTCCTGCTACTTATTGACACATCCATCCATGTAGTTTTCAAGGCAACAGGTATGGAAGTGATATACTGCTGTCTTCTAGGAAGATTTGTTTGACTTCCCAATCTAAACTACAACCTGGAATTTCCTGGTGATCACCCACCCAAGTGACAACTAGATCTGACCCTACTTAGCTTTCCAAAATCAGCCATGGGGACTTGCTGTTGCCACCTAGCTGGCCTAAATAAATGCGAGAGAGAGAGAGAGAGAGAGACGGACGAAAGACAGACAGACAGACAAGGATCAATCATAGGAACATTTATAGCAAGCATTGCCTTCTGAAGCGGCTGAGTTGGAACAGCCAAGGAGAAAGGGCTGTACCATCTCAGGGTCTTATATCTCGGTCCTTTTGGAGAAGTCCTGGGTAGCTGCAGAGAAATTAAGGGTCTGAGCCAACCAAAGGGCACTAAGAAAGCAGGATCAAAGCATAAAAACGAAGTCCTGAAGGCAATAGCTAATTCTTCCCCCACCCTCTGCACCCCAAGTACCTGCTTGGAGAACACTGCCTGGGCCAGGTGCGCTGCCATCAGGCACCCCAGGGGCAAAGGTGACATGGTGAGCAGAGCCTGGGCTACGGCCCGGCGGCGAGTTCCTCTCCCAGGTCCTGGTGGCCAGTAGGTGATGTTTCTCAGGCAGTGGAGGCTGCTGGTTCTCCCGGGGCTGCTCCCGGCTGGCAGGGCTGCCCTCCATGCCTGTGTAGTAGGCTGTTGCAATGGGGAAGGCTGGAGTTGGTGAGCTCTGCATGTCAGCAAAGCCACAGCTGAGGGCCGGGGGCTGGACGCTGAGCAAGCAGGGCCCAAGAGAGGGGCTGGTGTTGGAGCCGCGGGGAAGGCCCTTTGCCTCCAGTTCATCCCGCTCGCTCTGCAGCCTCCCGTTATAGACACCCGGGGCTGGAGGCGAGGCTGGAGCACAGGAGACTGTCCTGCAGCCAGGAGGGGGCTGGTTGGGGCAGGGAGCCTTGGGCATGACCTTCTGGGGCAGTCTCTCCATGACAGGCCCTGGCTGATGCCCCACAGCTTCTTCAGGGGGCACCTCATGGGAGAATGGCACTGTGGCACCGGGGCCAGGGACATCAGAGCCATTTTGATGCTGCTGCTGCTGCTGCTGCTGCTGCCCTTCCAGGAAGGGAGAGTGTTTGGCAGTGGCTGAAGGAGGCACATGTGGTGGGCTAGAAGCACAGTAATTGCGAGAGCACATCTGCGGCACCTGGAGGCCAGGCCTCTGTGAGGCTCCGTTAGCTTGTGTCCTGAAGGCAGGGAGGTGTGTGAAGGGCTGTACTGGGGATAAAATCTGGGGTGGGTTGCCTGATGGGGTCATTCTCTCAGGGGCTCTTTTGTACCCGGGAGAGGATTGCTCCTCAGAGTTTGACTGGAGCATGTTCTCCAGGGGGCTGGCGGTCTTGTGGCAGAGCTTGCGGGATCCAGGGCTGCAAGGACAACAAGCATCCAATTAGTAAAGTTTAGCAGACAATCAGGAGGAGTCTGGGAGACCCTTTTCTGACAAACACATTTTATTAAACGTTGCATCCGATGAAGGGAGGTGTAGCTCGCAAAAACTTCTGCCTTTTAATAAAACACGTTAGTTGGAAAAGGTGTTCCCAGACTCCTCCTGATTTCTTGCCCCCATAGACTAACACAGCTCTCCTCCTATCACGTTTGGCAGCTATGCCTAATATACAGAGAAAGACATTTCTGGGAGTGGGGTGGAACGCATCCTTTCAAATCCAACAGTGCAGACCCCAAAACAGAAATACCACATATAAAAAAGAACCAAAAATAAAAGACAGCCTTACAAAACAGGTAAACAGCCATTACTAGTCCATGAATTTGCTTATTTAGACCAACTGGCCAAATCTCCCAACTTTTTAAAAGTTTCCTGGCCTGACACTTAAAAGCAATTTTCAGCTTGCCACAGACAAGCATTCCTTACAAGTTTGCATTCAAAGCAACCAGCGTTGACCATCATAGAAAGTAAAATAAAAAGACTTCTAACAAAATTGTTGTATAGATACTTGGAGTAGTGCATGTTAATTATTTCTTAATATCCTTCAGCCATGTCATAATCAGTGTGGGTTATGTGCTCTTAGTCAAGGTTTTCAAGCAAAAGAGAGAGCTTTAATTTTTTTTTGGCAAGTTCTGCAAATACAGAAGTATGTACACGTGTTGGGACAGGAGGTCAAGTTTGATTTACATCAGATACATTTGACCGAAACAATTACTATTCATCATTATTTAACATGAAGCGGCAACATCTGCAGTTCAGCACTCATATAGGACTAACTGCCCCAACGTCTGCCAAAAATATGCATTAAAAAGGCAAAAGAAAAGAAAACGGGGGGGGGGGGACAGCAAATACAGTAAGAATTTTTAAAAAATAACTCCTCACATTTTCTGAAAGCATAATACACTGAATCTCAAGGTAGCCAATCTCATTTTAGCCTGTTTATGCAAACTCAGCTTGTAGAGACAGTTTATGGTTTGATGTGTTGTGCAAACTAGAAAACCGAGTCAAGGTTAACTCAACAATGGACAAGCACGTCAGCACAACCCCAACACGGTAAAAGCAATCCTGGTCAGGCATAACAAAAGCTATCAAATCCAGTCCTTTCCAACTTGGTGCCTTCTATATGTGTCGAATCACAGCTCCATACTCTTTGGCTATCACTGAATCCTGACATAGTCTGTGAATTGTCACTGGCATAATCAACCTTCCGCAACTTGGGGCTCTTCACATGTGCTGGATTTCAACTCCCATGACTTCTAACGGGGTGTCTGCCTTGGGGGACAAAGTCAACATGAAGGTTACAATCATGCAATTGAAGCCTCATCCCCCTTTTTTATACATCACAGCCACCCCTGCCTTCTAAGCCAATATATCTAGGCCAACCGTAATATACCAGGTTGGGAAAAGCTGGTATAGTTTATGGGCTTTCCTCCAATGTGGAGAATGGGACCCAGAGTTGTGCACTGCTACAGGATGTTCACCTTTTGCCTCCCTGTATGGTCCCTATTTGACTCGTAAGATAAAAATTTGTCTTAAACTGAATAAGACCATTTTCCCCCATCTACCTCAGTATATACTGATTGGCTGTAGCACTCCAAAGTTTTCAGTCCTACCTAATGCTGTGGCTTGAATTTGGGACCCTTTGTACAAAGCATATGCTCTATCAACAAACCACTCCCTTACTTTTTATTTTAAAAAAGGAAACTCTGCAATTTATTTATTTATTTATTTATTGCTAACTGACTCAATAACATTTCATCTGTTTGGGCCTTCAGTCTGAGCACACCACTGCAGTTTGCGCTACTAGGGTAGCTTTCCCCATCTAGCTCCCTTCAGATGTACTGGCCAACAGTCCCCATCATCCCCTGCCACCATGTCCAATCCCCTGGGGATTTGAAAATCTGACATCTCCGGAGGGCACAAGATTGGAAAAGGTTGCAAAATAAGAGTGCCTGGAAACTGTCTGGACCTACTGACCTGCCACCTTATGCAGTCTTTCCCATCTTTGACATCCTCCAGTTGGGTGGCTTTTTTTCCCAGGATTTTGGGAATACTGCCATGGCAGCAATAACTAGGGAACATGGGGAGTTGATCCACCCACCTGAAAGGCATTAAGACCGGGAAAACATCACAAGCCTATTTGTGGCTAGCAGTCTTGACAGTTTTGTCTTAGATTGATTATGTGCTGTACCATCAAGTCAGTGTCAGCTTCTAGTGGCCACCTAGATAGACCTTCTCCAGGATAATCTGTCCCCAGTTTGGCCCATCAGGTCTTCCAACAGTGCACCCATTGCTGCTGTAATTAAATCCATCCACCTTGTGGCTGGTTGTCCTCATCTCTTCCTTTCTACCTTTTCCAGTATTACAGATTTCTCAAGAGAACTAGGACTTTGCATAATATGTTCAAAATATGATAATCCAAGACCAGTCATTTGCACCTCAAGTGAGAACTCTTGATGATCCATTTGTTTGTTTTCTTGGCTGTCCACAGCCAATATTTATATGGTTCTATATCATAGGAAGCGATCTCTACATGGGACTATAGTCCAAGAATATTACTGTTCTGTTCCCCAAGGAAATCTGACAACTTTCAAGGAACTGAAAGGTTTTCCAGAATAACTGCATTACAAGCACAGATTCAGGCATAAACTCAGAGTCAAGCTAGTTCTGACTTTAACTTATACCACTATTCCCTAACAGACAATTAGGAAGGCTCAATGCACACAGACATAAGATACCTGTTGTTGTTGAACACTGGACTGCTGGTGTGCACAGGCATGGGAGAGCTAGACCCATCTATACAAGCAGCTTGGACCTCCTGCCGATGATGCTGTAGAGAGGTGGGCAGGTCTTGCCAAGGAATGCCCTCCCTGCAGTCTTGCAGCTCTAAGGAAAAGGAAAGGAAGACATGCACAAGACAGTCAGTAAAGGCACAGATAACTTCATATGAAGTCAGTCCCAAATTCTGGGACTTTGAACCAAGCATCCCTTTAACACTGGAATGGAAAATGTCTGGACCTTCCCAATATTGCTGAACAACTATTCCCAGGACAGGTCAGCAGTTGCTACTGGGAGCTCAGCAACATCCAGAAGACTACTGTTCCTCTGTTCTTGTCCTTCCCTAGGGAAAACCTAACTAACAGCAAAGCCAGACAACTAATTTGGGACACATAGCATTTTTAAAAAGAATATAGTAATGGAGCATTGGACTAGGGAAAACCCAAGTTCAAATCCTCACTCAGCTATGAAGCTGGTTGGATGACCTTGGGCTATCTGGTCCTATTCAACAGAATTTACCTCAGTGGTTGTTAAGAAGATAAAACAGAAAGGAAGAGGTGCATTGTATATGTTGCCTTGAGTTCCTATTTGTGAAGGAAAGCAAGCTATAAATGTGATAAAACATCAAAAATACCATCTTAGCAGGTTATTGCTAGCCCCCCAGAGAAAGGATCCTAGGAATTGAAGTTTTCTGAAGGCCTAGAATCTCCTAACAGAATTCTCTGCACCAAAACACAATACTAGATGCCTTTGACAGATACTGTGAGTCAATTTATGCTTATGGTATAGTAGTAGTTGCAACACTAGTAGCAGTCTTTGTTGTAGTTGTTCCTCTTTGTTGTAGAGAACGTATCTCAGCAAGTAATTTGCTGACAGTTGTCATGGTAATGCTTTGGTCTAAGGCAGCTCGCCAGATGCTTGAACCAACCCTGTAGTCATGGATGGGAGGCAGTTTCTAACTTTGTAAGCAGCCCAGAGTCATGGAAGTGAGATGGGCGACTCTATAAATTTAATAAAGAAACAAACAAACTGGGCAGAGCATCTGACACTTTCCTATCATTCTTTCTTTGCTTGAAATCTCATAGCAGGGAGAACAGCATATTCCAAGGAATGGATAGTTCAGCAGTACACCACTTTTTGGAGCTAAAGCCAGGGCACTAAATCAGTATAGTTAATATGATTATATCCCATGCATTTATTTTTTTCCCTTCTGTCACATTAAACATTACAGATTGGGGGCCACTTTGATTCTTCAGATCATGCTCAAGACTTGGGGCCCACATGTGGCCCAGAGGCTGAAGGCTGTATACCCTTGCTTTATTCCCAAGCTCGCCTGCCCGTGTTCATGCCAGTTCTACTTCAGGTACATTTATCAGAAACACATGATTCAAAATCAGAGGGAAGAACTTTTCAGTAGTTGTGTCTGGCAAGGAAATGTCTGATAAAAGAAGTTTGTCTGGGGCCTCTGTGACATTCTTTTCTGGTACACGGAAAATAGCATTTTTATTTACTCTCATATTTTAAGTTAACATGTTTTCTTCTGCTTTTCAAAATACCACATTTTCTTATTCTTATTTATGCTATGTGATAAAAACTGAGCATACTCTCTACCCTAAAATATAGAGGGAGTGCAACACAGAATATAAATGTTTTAGATAACTATTAAAAACAACAGATTAAATTTTTCCTTCAAAATCTATGCTGAGAAAAGCTCAGCTTTGCTGCCAGTGGGCTCATAGAAATAAAAAAGCCTGCACACGTTGATTTATTTTATTACTTAGGGCCAAGAGCAAGGAAATGCACTGGGGTCTATCCAGTTCAAGGTTCCCTGAAACATAGGGAAGAAACAATATCATAATCAAGGAACCACCAAGTAGGAAGCCACACTCCCCCCGAGACTGGCAGGGCAAGCTACTATATGCAAACAGCCAGCAGACCCCACTCTCCCTCATACTGATGATGTTATGTAGTTGGGTAATGAAACATTCGCAAGAAAACAACCAAGGTCAGAGAGCACCAAGAACCCAGCCGAGGGCTCTTTCTGAACCTGGTCACTTACGTTCCTAAGGATTAGTCCTGGTGCTTATTTCTAATGTTGTCCTTTTCTAGTCCCAAAGACTTCATTCCTGGCTCTTTTTTTAAATGTTTTATTATTATTATTATTATTATTATTATTATTATTATTATTATTATTATTACTGATCACATCAGGAAAAGGATTCACTGTTCTCTTGCCTCTTTCTCCTCGCCTTGGAGAAGCACCTTTACACCTGACACTCACCACACGATCGTTCTGTGGATGGTGGCAGTAAGTATCCATTGTTGCCCTCTGGGAGCTCATATCCATGCTTCCGGGATGGTGGATATAGCGGGCTGGCTGGTGAAATGGAGCCTGAGTGAGGAGACCCCAAGTACCCTGAGGTGTAGGGGGAAAGGCAGGGCTTGACTGGAGCTCTGCCACAGATATATGGTGGTACTGGAGGGTAGGCTGAGCTATAGCGATAAGGAAATGCCTCTGCATTCTCTTCTGTTACTTTGGGCCTCTGGTGGGCTGGATAACCATGGCCTAGATGGGTGGCCATCATGTTGGGCTCAAAGTTAAAAGCCTGATGATGCTGCCCATGGGGCATGGGATGGTGCCCATAGCTGGTTGGCATTAGAATAGGCATGGGCTGCCCACCGCGGTGGAGGGGATGATGAAGCAAGGATGGCCTCTCGACCCCCCAGAAGTCCGGTTCCTGATCCAGGTGTAAGTTGTAGAAGGAAGCCATGGGCAGCCTTGATTCTTCTTGTGCTACCTCTTGGCAATCTTGGCATGGGCATAAAAATGTAGGCTGGTCCTCCAAAATAAGTAGCTCATTATGCTCCCGCCGATTAGGGCTGTGAGGAGGCAGCAGCTCATGGCCATAGGGGTAAGTATGGGGCTGTAGGCCCTCTGAAAGGGAACGAAACACCCGCCGTTTTTCCTCATAGCCCTCAGAATGTGGATGAGAGTGGCCCCCATTATAGATGGGCTGCCGCCGCTCCAAAAGGCTGTCCGGCCTATAATAGGACATGTTGCGAGGTCTCTCGGGGCTATGGGAGCAGTAATCCAGGCGACAAGAGGAATGGCGGGCCAGGCCAGAACGCTGAGGTTGGTAGGGGAAGGAGGTTCCTGGTTGGCCTATGTCGGAAAGTTCATCTTCCAAGATGGCTGTTTCTCTCTCTTTAGTGGCAGAAGGGGAAACCGAATGAGAACCAGTCCCCTCACTTAGCTGCTGAGGCTGGACACCAAACCCCCCCAAGAGCCGGTCCAACTCTTCCTTCTCAGCTGGTGTGGGCTGTGGCCTGCATGAAGGTGTGTTGTCTTCTGCCTTCTCAGTTAGCATAGAGGAATGCCCTGAATCACTGCTAATGGACAGGAGGCGCCCACCCTGCTGTGGAGGAGACTCTGGGCTTCCTGGACTGCCATTACTGGAGGAGAAGTGACTCAGCTCATTTTTCTTCTTGATCCGTGCATACAGGCTTCCATCTAGAGGACCCCGAGTATGTAAGACATCTGCAAAGGAAAAGAGGGGCACAAGGTTAGAGGGTTGTAGAACAGCTCAACATTCACTGCCTACATGTGGTCTTGAATTTCCACATTGGGCAACTCATAAGTTCATAGGTTGGGATGTTTATGCTTGGAATATTTGCAGCAAAATCTGTTATTCTCTCAACTTCTCCTTTAGTGACTCTGGTTTTCCCTAATCGATTAGAGTCAGAAGCCATGTTTGTTATTGGCTTCTGATCCCCAGCTCATTTGAAACCAGCAAGACAAGATCCACAGTAAATAAACTAGGAGAGCAATTTCTGTGATTGGTTTTCCATTACTGCTAGCAGGAGGAACCAAGAAGAGTGACAGAGAGGTGCATGCAGTGTGCTACTTTCTCAAGATTATGCTGGAATTATGTGAAGTGTGAATATGACCAATATTTTGATTACTTGGAGCAATATCTAATCTGATTCATTTTTGTTGTTTGCGGGGGGGGGGTGATTGTAAGGCAAGAAACAGAAGTATAAATAAATTCAGATACTGGAAAGACTAGCGACTCAGTCATTAAACGAAGCAGTCGCTAAATGAAATTGCAACTGTGCTTATGATCTTACTTCAGCTTTCCTTTGCTTAACAGACCTGTGAAGGTCATAAATGCAAGGACTGGTCATAAAGTTGCTTTTCCATCATTGTCTTAACCACAAACAGTTGCTGTGCAAGGTGGTTGCTAAATGAGGACTACCTGTACATGCATTTGCCATGCATGTTATACAGCTGAATCTCATTATAGTGAAAAGGCTAGTCTGAGTGCTATAAAACCATTGTGTCTACTTTCCCCCCACACCTGGACAGTTGCTGGGAGAGTTAAAAATAATTTGAAAGAAAGGCTGATGTTTGCAGGAGGTATGCTTACATCTGTGAACAGGAGAAATAACAATAGAAAGTGGATTTATATCATAGATAGTGATATTTTCCTCTGAAATTCTTTGCCCTTTTGAAGGGCAAACCTATGGATGACTGAATTTCACTGGGTTCAATGGAGATTATTTCCAAATAGTTAGGACCAGAATAACATTATTGAAAGCTACTACCACTTTCCATCTTTAACAGTAAGCAAGATGAGGTCATCTAGAGGTTGTTGTTGTTGTTGTTTAGTCGTTAAGTCGTGTCCGACTCTTCGTGACCCCATGAA